TGTTTTTGCACTCATGATCATTCTATGATAAGGCAAGGAATACTAACCTGCACCAAAAGTGGGGAGGAAGGGTTTTAAGTGTGTGAGAAGTGAGTATATATCAGAAATACATTTTCAGGTAAGGAAAATGTTAACGTTCAAGGTGATACACACCTTTTCACATAGAAAGCTAGAATCTCATATTCATATGGTGGAGGAACTGGTGCAAAAGTTACCTAGATAAGCTTCTTTCAGAAAGTGCAGGAAGGAAACCCATGGAGTGTGACACCTGATAGCAGTGGCTCCATAAGGGCACACCCATGAGAGACCACATCACACCTCTTTCAAGGTACACTTTTTGCCCAGATTGGAAGAGGGTAAGAGGCAACCACGCCCCATGTGTCACAGGTATAGGTGGAAAAATAATATGGTTGTCTGAGGACTTGCACACAAGAGATCGAAGAGCAAATTTGTGTAGCATGGTAGGGATGTGTGTTCAGACCATACCTAGTGCTCACATCAACTTTACTTCTTTTCTTGGATTGACACCAGTTGCGGGAGGAGGGCAAGGCAAGTAAGTGTGTGTGCAGGAGGGGGCAAAATTTGTTTGTAAATTCTCACCTCAACTCATCTGAACATGAGATGATTGCAGGTAGTCATTGGGTCAATTTCAGTCCAAAACCAAGCTGCATAGGGTGTCTTCCAATCCGTGATAGGAAGAGGGGTCCCAATCATCTTCACCTCAATGATCAGGAAGCAGAAGGTAAAAGTAACTTTAATTTTAACAACCCAGGCAGAGCACATGTATGTAGAAGAAATATACAACCAACACCAGGACACCCAGGAACCCAGCATCAACTCGAAAACCAGGTAGCATCAGGAATTTGTCATCTGTTCTGTCGTAGGAGGAGGATCCCTAACAACCACATATATGAGGACTTGTGTGGGCTGGTCCTACACTGATCCAACACCAGATTACGATGGAACCTGAAATCAAATGCCAGAAACAAAGGTGAATGGACACACCTATCCAAATATGGTGGGGAGAGTGTAAGATGGCAAACAGAGGCAGGTAGTGACTCTCGGAAAACTACATAGCCAAATGGCAAAGAGAAGTTATGAAATGATCTTGTCCAGCAGTGGATGGAAACGAGCATCAAATGAATGTGTGAGTAGATGAATCTGATGGGAAGAAATATAGACCATCAGTGAGCAACAACCACAAAGGAGGAGCAGACCGAACCAGACCATATGGCAGACCATACAAATGAAAGCATAAGGAGATTTGTCCCAGAAGGAAAAGGAATCCCAGAGAATGTAGAGTGGGAGACAGAATCCCCAAAAGTAAGAGGTACAAGAAAGGTGGGAACAAACAGCACAAACCTGGGAGAAAAGTCTGTCTGGATCTCAACGAGCATAAAAGAAAGAGTGTAATAGAAGGACACAGTAGTGAGAAGTAGGGTAGAAGTCTCTCCAATGAGCAGCTGAAGAATGAGGAAGGAAGGACAGGGCAGAAGGAGTAAGGATACAAGGACAATGGAAAAGTTACAGGACAAGTAATCAGCATAAAGATGTAAACAACAGTGAAAAGAAAGGAAAGTATGACAGAAAGGAATGTAGTAAATGGTGCAGGCTGCCAATGGCATGCAGATGACACCAAGGTCTTGGTTGAGCACAGGGGCAGTGCAAGAGAGTCAAAGGATAAGGAAGGGTTGGAACAAGGTGAAGAAATGCCTTGCAGTAAAGAACCAACATATATGGGTGGCAAAGCAGAGACAGCTGAACCCTGTAGAAATTTAGTGGAAAATGAAAAGAAGATGTCTGATGGTAGATCCATTAGGAAGAAAAGGTAAATAATACACCAACATCAAAAGCCACACCCCCAACTTGGGTATAAAGACCATGTAGAAAGATGCCCAGATGGGAAAGGATTATGTTTGAAATTTATAACTGTTCCTAGTCAAATATCATAAATTTTCCGGTTGATAAGGGTTAGCAAAATCACAATTTGTAGAGTACATGGTTATTGCAGGCTCCTAGCCAACTTTTTAAGCTCTCTCTCTATTTTGGCACATCGCCATGGCTGCTTTTATAGGCACAAGTAAGGTTTTTCTCGAAAATTCCGACAACAATTCTGAGCTATATTTAAACGGTTACGGAAGTGGATATATTGTCGATTCTTACGTTCACGAATATTCTACAACCTTGGAGAATTGGCGGGAGTCTTGCAGTACATAACTAACATTGTAAGCTAGGCATGTTTTTAAATATAAACTTAATTCAGACAAATGTTGACACTAAAATAAACATATAACAAACTCGTTGCACGCAATACATATCCAACACTATAAGTTACACATATTTTTAAATACAAATTTAATCTAAAAACGTTCATATTAAAATAAATACATAATGACATATTTGTTACACAAGTGCTGAATAGAAAATAGATGGCCAGGGATGCTCTCCCAACCATGCTTGCAATGTAGTTAAAACTAAAATCTCTATAGTGAAATCTTTCTGAAACAAACTACCAATAACTTGTAAACCTATATAATCAGAACAAGTTTTTGATTCAAAAACATATTTCACAAAGAAATTTAACTTGTGTAATTTTAAAAAAATCTGTATTATTTCATCAAAACATCTGATCTAACTAAAGTTGATATTAAATAAGTTTCACTGTTCTACCCACTACCATAAGAAAATCTTCTATTGTAAGATTCAGTATTAAATGAATGTGCACGAGGTTGGTTTAATGGACTGGCCTCATACTGGAGAAGAAATGTTGAATATAATTATGAATTTACTAAGTGTATCTACACAAAATGTGGCAATCTTTTAGTACAATGTACAAGACTGTTGTACATAAACAAGAGAAAATCCTCAGTAGCCATGGCACTTGAAATTCTTTTAGGCAGGATTAGAGCAAATTAATCTACGAGACCTTGGGCATGGTCAAATATATCAAGATCTCAAATTGATCGAGAGATGATGGAGCTATGAGCTAAAAGTTTGTACTTGAAAAACTCAAAGCCATTCTATGAGCCACTATGCCAAGGCTAAAAATCAGATGTGTTCCAAAATAATTTGTACCCAAGATATGTCTGTGAAATGTCAATATCAGTCTGACTCAGACTCTGACAAGTCAATATGCAAGGTGATGTTCATGGCAAGAATAGAAATACTTTTGCCTATTGTACTCATTGCATATGCATAACCTCTACAGCCTCTAAAATGCATACCTATAGTTTTTTCAGTATTCTGTATATTGTATCTGACATTCACTCTCCTCTACCACAAACTGTTGCTAAATCAGTAATATAGGGTAAAATGAATATTTGATATCTCTTAACATCAAACACACTTTGACTCCCACCCACATACATAAGGTTAATTATATTACACATGCGTGTCTAGCATTTTTTGCTTAGATAAAAGTTAAAAAATAATACTTGCAAAGAACTTTATTTAACTGGAAGTCTACCAAACATGTCCAGGAAAATTTTATGTGTTACATGCATGTTCTCTGACAAGTCTTAAGTATGTTTCAAATACTGAGTATTGCATCTTTTGTTTCTTTGTAGGAAAAGTTGAATGGAAATATTTTTTCAATGGTCTTTTACTCAAGACATAAAATAATTTTAAAATTGTCCTATTTTGTGTATAGTTGTTTTATTTAAGATCAGTTTTGAATTACCTTAATTCTTAAACTTTTTTCAATTATTTTAGCACACCTAGCAACTGGTAACTTATTTGAGTACAGAAGAATTCAGGTAGTGTAGTACATTCTGGAACATAAACATTTTTAATAAAGAGAAAGTCAGTATTCTGTATTTCTTCAACAGTTGTTAATACTGGGCTTGTGTAAAGTAGAGTATCTACTTCTTATCAAAGCTACTAGGTGAAATGTTGAGGAAATAAAGAATTGTCACTGGATATTGGCTGTTTCTCTTCATTAAACTTGTTTAAATGCTTTCATTTAATAAAAACACCTTACTTGATTACTTTTTTATTTCAAAATGTATCAACTCTACTACGGTAGCATTTAGAACAAGTGTTTGAAATGAGTGTTTTAAAAAATTATTTTTATATTAGGTAAAATAAGTTTTTCATCCTAAGAAAAACTTTAGTGATATAGTTTTAGTATCAAGTTGACTTCTCCACTTAGTTTATTGCCAGTGGTTATCACTTACACTAAAAGTCATTTTGCTGTGCTTTACTGGATAACAATTGGTTTTCCTGAGGGATGTGTTTCACATTGGTCAACTGTTCAAATGCAATTCTATAACAAGATTTGATTTATGTGCAGCTATTTTATCATGACCCTAAGTAATTACTAACCTTTTTATATTAAACCTTCAAATGTTTAGATCCTGAATATCTTCCTTTAAAACCTAGACATTCTAAAACCTGTTTAAATTTAAACATGTTTTTAACCTTAACATAATCTAAAACGTGTTTAGACCTAAATGCATAAAGAAATTAGGACAAAAAAGTGGTACATTGTGTTTAGGATCTAAGTACTGAATTTACAGTGTAAATGTGTATGTGAAAATAAATCAGAGAAAGTTAACATACCAAAAGAGTCAGTAACTAGATGACTGAGACATCCGATTCTGATTAAGTTTTATAATTAAGAATTAGACCACACAGTTAAAACAAAATTGGAAATACAACTTTCTCAATTTGAATTAACCTTTTGGTTTAGGTACAACATAAAATACTACTGAATATATATTTAATCGGTATGAAAATAAAATAACAATAAATAGATTTTCGAAATGGGTGCGGTGACATACGATTTGTTCCTCGATATGCACTGCCGACAATGGCAGCTTCGGAGAAAATAGCAGATTTCAATTTGCCCAGACACGCAAATAAGTCTTACTTACTATATAACTCCACAAATACACAAAGAAACGTTCTATTCGAACTTCACAAAGTCATGAATTATAAAAGTGTCTTAAAAGTAGTTCAATTAAAATTACTTATTTATAGAGTATTACATAAAAACTTACGACGGTATCGAAGAGTGTATTCAAACTTCGTTGGCCGCAAGTAACCTTCACCGAGTAGCACCAGTCTCCTATACCTGCGATATTGAGCGGCGAATGATGGGTATGGGCATGGAACACTAGTAGAGAAAGGGAGGAAGAGCTGTGTTGTTAATCTTGTGCTTCTTGCAATATAACAACAAGCGAACTATGAAGGCAAATTACAAACAACTTTTTAGTAGAAAATATAATTTTAACACAATACTCGCTACTGTATTTGAAATATTACAATTTCATGAACGTTTTGTTTAAACAAGAGCAAAAAAAAAAGGCACAGTCCTTTATAGTTTACACCACAGCAATCTACTAATTATGTTATGTCAGTTGTAAAGCCTACAATCTACCTACAGTTCCATTTATTGCATTTCCTTCTGTGAAATAACATCCTAGAGCAACACACATACATTTCAGCTGCTTTGCTGGCAAGGGCACCAGCAGAAAAAAATTAGGGGGGTCAGTACCCCTGTAATTACAAATACCTCATGATTTTCCAATAACATGGAAGAATAACTTTACATATCTAGTAAATGTTTTTATTTTTGAAAATCCGGGGGGGGGGGCAAATGACCCCCTTGCCACTTCCTGCGACCGCCCATGTTTAATGGGTTTGTATACTTTTTATTTCGAATTTCCTCCCCTCCTTACTTTTTGTAAATGCTCTGCATAATATGTACAAGTGTTGCGTTAAAGTTAACTTAACTCCCCACATAAGACAAAATTGTGTTTCAAAATACTACTTCCTGATGTCTTCACCGCTTTACGAGCTGTGGCTGCTTAGTCTGGGTTGCATGTGTTTTTACACTATATATATATATGAATTTACATTTAAATTTACATATAAATACAGTTTTCAATAAATGACGAGCATATCACGTTATCAAAACGGTACTCCAAACCGCGTTTCAGCTATCAGAGTTTAATAGACATATTCATTGATTGATTGTTTGTAATTTAACACAAAGCTACACAAAGGGCTATCTGTACTCTGCTCACCACGGGTATTGAAACCAAGTTTCTAGCGTTGTAACTTCGCAGACATATTCACATGCCCACCGCCAGAATCTTGGTTTCAATCAAGCGATTTGAAACAAACAAGAAGTATTAAAGCCAATTAAATTTCTAACTTTCAAAACTGTTTGAATAGACGACTGCCAAAAATCTTTTAAATATTTTTCCCAATACTAGTTTTCTAAATCAAAACTTTAACCAATAAAAAAAAATCTAAAACTTTATTGGAATCCTAATTTCAATCAAGTAATTTGAAACATAAGAAAACACCAAGAGTCTCAAAACCATGTTTCTAAACATGGTTATATAGAAGAGAATACAATTCTAACAACATCTAAACTTTTCTTAAAGGCAAGTTTCATGATCGTCTTTAAACAACAAGAAAAGAAAAAAACATCTTTCGAACAGTGAATTTAAACCGGAAAAAGCAACATTAACAAAATCAAAATTTTTTAGTGAGGTGAATCTAAAAAAAGAATGATCAATACCCTAAACTTCTTAAAACTAGGTTTTAATATGGTAATCTTAACCAAATACGGTAACAAATTCCAAAAACAATTTGGTGGACCGAAGCTTCAATTAGATACGCTAAACGGCAAAAAGCCGCAATGTTGCTAAACTAACGGACTTTTTTTAATCTAGCGACCAAAATAAGAGCCCTAGCGACAAATTTAGCGAAATCATTGAAAAACCTAGCTAATTCTAAGGAATGACCATGATTTGTGTTCAAAATGAATGTTTGTGTAGTATAATTACTGTTATAAAAATTTTCTTTTGATTTACAGCTACGATTAAAAAAGGTGTCTGGTGCAGGATAATTAAAATTATTTGCCACATATCTTGAATAAAAACATTCCCGAAAAAGTATGTTTTTTATGGCGTTCTTATCTTCCACGACGGAAAACAAAACGTGAACAAAACACAGAAATTACATACTTTAATCTTAATTTCTTATTAAATTCATGTATAATAGCTATGCTAGGTATAGGTTAACCGTTAAAGTGTTATTAAAAAGTTTATCTATATAAGCTACATGCATATATAAATAAGATATAGAATACATTTGACATATGCCTATTTATTTCGTTAAGTTTGATTCACGTCCTGTCCCAGTTAAATTTTGTGAAGTTTTACGATCGTGTTTCGTTACGATTTCAGCTTCTCAGAACTTTAGTCACTGGTGCCACAGAAGGGTAAATCCGTACTATTTTGGTACATTGTGGGGACTTATGGTATTTGATTCGTCGTCTAGACTTGTGATACGTTTTCAAACATTAAAGTTTGTTTTAATTACTTATAATCATATACTAAAAGATTAGTAAAACTTGTTAATTTAAGAAAGGGAAAATAGGGATCGTCAAAAAAGTACAGAAACAAATTCAATCAAAATACAAAGATTATATTTCAAGCCTACAACTAGGGATTCTAAAGAAAATAAACAAACTAGGCTGGAAATAGTGTCTACATTATTTTCTCAAGCTACAAATCCCTATTTTGACTCCAATAAAATTGGTAAGTACTGTAGACATTAAGTCAAAATAGTGATTTGTGTAGCTTGAGAAAATAAACTATTTCCAGCCTTGTTTGTTTACTTTTTTTTAATGACTCCCTAGTTGTAAGCTTGAAAATATAATCTGTACATTTTGATTCAACTTGTTTCTGTACTTGTTGACGGTCCCTATTTCCCCCTTTTTAAGTTAAAATTTTTACTACTCTTCTTTCTTAGTTTTTTTATGCCCATTTATGGAGTATAAATTTTAAGCTACATAAGTGCATATGGATATGCGTTCAGTTGAATGTTACATGTTTTTCGACAATTTAATGCTGCATTAGCCTTTTTTTCACCCAACCACGACACTGAATTTATTCAAAATAAATAACAGATATACAACAAAGAATAAACACATGTACTGGTATGTAACTACAACAAACAAAATGTAAAGTTGTTCTCAAAGGACCCCATTCAAGGCACAGATTGTATCATCACAGATTTAATGACTGGTTTCCATCAATGTCACAGTGTAATGTAACAAAAGACGAGTAGCAACAAAGCAATCTCAATAAAACGGAATAATGTTTCCTTTAAAATAATACAACACACAGATTAATACAATGTAAACAGACGAAGTAACATGCTTACCTTGTTAGGTACACATGACACATATGTATGTTCTTCTACAGCCTGATGTGCACAGGTGTTTGCTAGAAATAAGGCGACACAAATAACGCATGCAAAACAAACAATAGCAATACACTTAGCCTAAGTCGCCAATTATCGATAACATTTACAACCGTAAGCCTTAATGAAAAATAATCAACTTTTAAATAGGTCATGGGCATTCGCAGCGTTTCATATAATATATCCGTCTAGGTTTTGGTGCAAAACACCCAGATGATTTTGCTTTAATCTTGTGAAACAATAATATTAATGATATGAAAAAAATAGTCAAATTTTGATTTTGTTTAACAATCGTGAAATCACTTATTTTGCTCATTTTCAATGTTTGTGTGGTCTTAACATTTAAAATGAAGGTTTTGAGTATTGTTTCAAGAACAAGTCTACTTTTTAAGGTGGTTTTTGCCCGAATGTTATATTAAAGTATTGAGCAAATTCCTGTGCGATCCCTATGTGAAGCACTACCATTGTTCATGATAGGAATCATTGCTAAAAAACATACATAACTGTATTAGAAAGGTATGGCTGGTGACCTTCAGTTTCGATGAAACTGTTGATATTTCTGGGTCAAAGACACATTTCATTTATTTTCGGGAAAATGGTGGTATCAATACAAAATTAAGTTTGATGGTAGCCAGTGACGTGCGGTGAGCAACATAACAAGAGGAAGCTCTGATATGTGGAGGTTGGGGATATAAGGTATGGCGGGCATGTGCATAGCCTGGAATTCTTTCCTTTCATTGTTAATGTAAATTTAGTACTTTGTTTCTTACAGAGGGGTATGATAACAGTAATAATACATTAATAGCATTAAACCGATCTAGCGACTTTTCTAGTGACTTTTATTTAGATCTAACGACAAACTGTTAAAAATAATTGAAAACAGTAACAAAAGGTACTTGTTTCATCGAAATAGTATGTGACAAGAACAATGACAGACAATTTCCCGCAGATTCATTTGTGTAAAATTGAAATTTGAAAAGTACATTAAACAGAATTATAAACATACTGATAAAATTACATTAACAAATATATTTAAAAAATGAACATTCGGTTACACTGATTTTATATTAATGTCTTAGTGAATTCAAAGAAGCAGAATAAATAAGAAAATTTTACGTACTAATCCATGATAATATATTATTCTCAGGATTTGTTAGTCAACAAGCAAACACATCAGAAACCTGCCAATATGTATCATTTGTGTAACTTTCTCCAGAAAGACTTAATCACTATATCTGTGCAGCATATTACAAAGATGAATCGATTGATGTTTCTGACATCAGTGCAGAATTTCGTGTACAATATTGTTAATATAATCACATGGTACACAACGAGTTGCAAATCAGACTGAACAACACATTAACAAACGAGACAGATTATGAATATAAAATTATAACGCCAAATTCGACAGTTTTTGAAACACTAGATTCAATTTTCCGTCCAAATTAAATTTAGGTCTAATGGCCATGATTAAAACTTATTAACATTATTAAACTGACTTACGTACTGTGTTGTTTAGTTGACTTGTGTACTTCTCACAACGTAATAAGTAGTACATATGTTGCATGTTCAACTTTCTGCTTCTGAAGAGGTTACTCCATTTTACGAGTGAGTACCCATAAACTGTAATTTTTTTCTTAACCTTATTCTCATCCCATTTGTTCTTAAGTAATAATGTAAACATGTATGGTGTGAGTTAAGACTTCACCTCACCTGTAGAAACAGTAAATAGTAAAATATCGAGTTTTTTTTTAAGTCAAGCTCAAAGCTACACAATGGGCTATTTGTACTCTGCCCACCACGGGTATCGAAACCCGGTTTCTAGCGTTGTAAGTCCGCAGACATGCCGCTGTGCCACTAGGGGGCGTAAAAATATCGATCGAAGAACTGCAT